CGGCAATGGCCACATGATCCAATATGCAAGCTCTGTGAAAGTGATCCAGAAATGCCAACACACTTATGTAAAGATTGTGTTTTTTCAAAGTGGGGACACTCAAGCAGTGGCTTGGGCTTGCTACCATTGACACCGTGCGAACGGAAGGTTCGCTCCACAACTATTGGCGCAGATGTCGTTCAAAGATTGAAAGCAAGCAGAGGGAAGATTTTGATGGCATCTTAATCTATCACTGGTGGAACATATGGAATGAGCGAAATTATAGAACTTTCTAGAACATCTCGCTGCAACCGAGACAAGTGGCATTTCTATGCAAGGAAGACATCGAGCAGTACCAGTTGGCCACGAGATCTAATGCGCAAGCGGCTTAGTCGCAGCAGTAGTGTTTTTGATCTTCCTGTGTTGTATCTGGGTGTGAGTAGTTTGTCTTTCATGTGTTCTTTTTGTTGTTATCCTAAAAAGGGATCCGCAGTGTTGCGTTTACTAGGCGGTGTTCAGAGTTGGGTTCTCTGGGTCTTGTGGCTAGAGGGGTAGGCGACAGTGGGGTCGGTTTTTTCTCTTGTAATTATGTTTTGTTTCCGTTTTTTCTTTTTTCCCGTCTAATAAAAATACGGCAAAACTTTTGACGCCTTTCGGAAAAAAAAAAAACTGGGCAGCAAGCAAGCTAATAAGGTAGTGGAGTACTACTGGGCAGTCACAATGAGTACAACTAAGCACCAGAAGGACAGGACAGGTGCATGCATCCTTGGTCCTTCCACAGATAATAAGCTTGATCAGAAAATTAAAACTCTGCACTAAAAATAAGACCCCTGCTAAATAAAACACTAATCCAGCAGCTAGATGATGATGTGATCCGGCAAAGGCAACCAAAAGGGCACGCGAATTCGGTTGGACCATCATTGCATTGCCTTCCCTCCCTCCCTCCTGTTCCTCCACAAAGATTCTGGCCGCCCAGGCCGGGGGCTCGCACGTTCCGCGCCCCGCCGCGCGGACACGTACGCGCCGGCCGCGAGTGCGAGCGCGCGAGCTGAACGCCTCGCACGAGCGGAGATGCCGCGGGAATTTCTAGCCAGACGAGACGACGACGACCGGGCCAGGTGTAACCGCCGCGGCAGCCGAAACGAACGGGCCGGAATCCGTCCGGCCCCGGATCGGAGCGCGCACGCCCCTGGCTGTATGGGCTACGTGGCGACGGGCGGATCGGCGCCAGCGCGTGCGGCGAATCGGCGAGAGGATACGGTGCCGTTTGAACGACGTGGCGCGGACCGGAGACTGATCGACGACCGGCCGCCCGGGACGGACGCCACGCCAAGTGTTGCTTTGGGAGGACGCGGGTGTTCCGGACTTGGCGCACACACGACATGCTGCGTGTGCTCCTGTCTGACGACGTCAGGTCGTGGAGACAGTGCACGACAACCCCCTTTGGATTTTACAGTACTCCTGTTCGAGGATAGGATATGGGATAGTCCTCAAGTCAGTGGTGTGGTTTCACTAAAGCCAGTGCATTTGACGAGAAATTGTCGGGCACATGCTCTGCTCCGCAGGATGTATGTATACGATCGAGCGCAGTCATATCATACAAGGATATGGATCGAATTCCTAGCCTGACGTGGCCACAATTCAAAATATTCAAAGCTAACTAGTGAATCCAGAGCGTCGGTGATGTGCTAGAGCTGTTCTGAACTCACATTGCTACACATTTAGGACCAAAGTTTCTTCAAATCCGGTACCCCAAGACCTGAAGCAGCTAGGTCGAGCTTGTTGGTTCCGACTTCGTTCGGAAAACCTGAATACCTGTCCACCTGATGGCCTGAACAATCTGCTTATCTGCTACTAATGCCTATTACTTAGCTTTTGTCAGTGCAGGATTTGTTAACATAAGTATATATAGCACTACGGGTGTACTATATACAAGTCTCAGGTTTTTACAGTAGGTAATCGCCATGTAAACCACGAGAAATACCAGTTGCCAGCGCATACAGTTCGCGGTGATAGTCTAGTGGTCGTCGAGGACAGGTTTGACGCATCAGTATCACGAACACATGCATGCCACAGTGAGGACAAAAATAATTGTATACAATACAAGGAACAATTTCTTTGTTTATTCCTTTTTGCACGATGGAACATCGAGTTATTACAGAGAAAAAACACCAATAAAACACAAAGAATCCTCACATACCCTCTCTTGATCTTGGACCAATTTTTCCAAGTACAATCTATTACTAGCTCCTAGGCTCCTAGCTAACAATGCCCGTGGCTTCCCCAGTTGCCCTCGAGGCCGCCGCCTTCACGTAGTGCACGGGAGGAGGGACGCCCTTTACTCCGATGCCCCGGCAGCACGAACTGCCTGCGCGCGCGCGAGGGCACGGTCTTCCCGGCCGCGCCAGCCGGGCGAGTCGCTTTCGCCTTTTCCCCGCTGCCGACTTGCTCACTTGCATGCGTCGCGGTGACCACTCACCAGACGAGCTTCTCGACGGCCATGCCCTGGAGCAGCGGGCGCGTCGCCGCGCCCGCGCCGGGCGGCCAACGGGCCACAGCAGCAGCAGGAGGACGACGAGGAGGACACGCGGTGGAGGACGTCGAGGAAGTGGTCCTCGTCGCAGGGGAGCGCGATGGGGCCCGGGGCGGCCGGGAAGCCGTACTCCTCCTCCGCCTGCCGCAGCAGCTCCAGGAACGCCGGGTGGCTGAGGTGCGCCACCCGCACCGCGAACCGCCTCGGCCCCGACGACGACGGCGCCGCGCCTTGCAGGGACACGGCAACGTGCCCCGCCGGCACCACAGCGTCGGGGGAGGAGGAGGCGCGGGACCGCCACTGCCGCATCGTGCGGCGCAGGCAGACGAGCGACGGGATCGTGATCACCACCTTGCACATGCTTGGAACTACTCGAGCGGGCGTTGCCTTGCTTCCTTGCTGTGTGGAGGCTTGCTTTGCTTTCAGTTGCAGTCGAGGCTGTGGATGTGGAATTGGGAGCGACGGGGTGCGATATATATAGGAGGATTAGTCGCGGCGTGGAATGCGTGGGGTTTTTTGGCGTGCCCGTGCGTGCGTGCACCGGCCGGACAGGGACGACACTGTCCACTGCAGTCCGCAAGCAAACGTGGCGCATCTCCAGCTGAACCCCTGGATCTGGAGTTGCCCTCCTTCCCAAACTGGCGATCGCATGAACGAAACGCCGCACCCGCACCCCACCCAACTGGCGATTCGCCGCTTCGCTGCACGCCTGCACCGAAGGCCGCCAAAAGCATTCCCAAATCCACCAGGGCAGGGGCGGCAACGTGCGTTTCGGACGCACGCCAGTTGCCTGATCGATCGATATCTCCGTGACACAAACCTGCAACGCATGGCAGGTCTCCAGGCACGCTGCACGAGTTTCGTTTACATTACACGCCGTGCATGGTTCGGCGGATACACGTATCCATCCATCGGTCTCGTCGTGTAAAACCCTACATTTTACATCAAGTTCTCGTTCTCGCACGTACAAGTACAGTTGCCTTCAGAGAACACACAGTGTACAGGCGGTACAGTTCATGCTGCGTGGAGGCTCAGGCTTTGCTTTGCTTTCAGTTGCAGTCGAGGCTGTGGAGGAAGTAGTCGCGGCGCGGAATGCGTGCGTTTTTTTTTTTTTTGACTGGAGAGGAATGCGTGCGTTTTTTTGGCGTGCCCGTGCGTGCACCGGACGTCCACACCAGAACAGTGGGCAGGGACGACACTGCAGGATTTGTAATGGCACTAATTCGCGAACGCTCAGCCGATTGGAATGCGGCAAACAATATTTCGACACGTCCCACAGTTTTCTTTTTTCGAAAAAAAAATAAATTCCCACATCTTTGCCTATTTGGATAGCGCAGCATATACGCTATTCATTCTCCTTTCATGTGTTGTGATGTACACGGTGGTTCTCTGACCTAGCGAATCAGTGATCCCACCAGTCCAGCAACTTTTCTTTTTTTTAGAAAAAATGTTTCCGTAACTTTTTTTTTAATTCACAACTTTCTTTTGTGTTGAAAAGTTACAAAGTTATACTCACAATTTTTACGTATAACTTTTTGTGCAAAATTTATCACCATATTTTCTCGGAAAGTTGCAAAGTTATGCACATAAATTTTAAATATAATATTTTGCGAAACATAACTTATCAACATAATCTTTTTTTCTAGAAAAAACCATTCCCGCATTTTTTTCTTTTTTGAAAAGTTACAAAATTATACTTATAACATGCATAACTTTTTACGTAACAACTTGTCATAATTTTCAGTATAACTTTTATCTTTTTTGGAAAAAATATTTCCATAACTTGTCGTCGTTGGAAAGTTACAAGTTATATAAATAAATTATGTGCATAAAGTACTTGCTGGAGAGACGGCTGCTGCAGTGCTGCAACACAAACACATTGCTGCAACAGTTTCTCCTACACAAATCTTGCAGCCTAAAGTCCTGTCCTCCAAGAACACAGACCACTGACAGAACAAGAACACAGTGCTGCACAGAACTGAAAGCTTCCAGTATCCTTTGCGGCAGACAAACCAATAAATGTGAATTATTGATTTATTTCTATACGATGGCAGACGAGACAGGCAATCTATAGTGGAGCTCTAGTAACTCCATTATATATCATGGTGCACCGAAAATACAGGGATAAGCTATTTCCATCGTTACTATCTGGAGTCAAAATGTTCCCCGTTTTACTCTGCTGTATATCAACATGTCAACGAAGCAGGAGAAGCCTGTTCGCTTGTTGGTTTCAGCCAGGACTTATCAGCCAGCCAACAGTGTTTTCCTCTCAACACAGACCAGCACCAGCCGGGCTTATCAGCCCAGAAACCAACCAGCGAACAGGCTCCTGATTTGCAGAAACAACAGTTCGACTACACTTCCATTCTTCAGGGTATGGACTATGGATGCCGAGACTTGATCTACTGACCATGGTTGAGTCTCAGGGCATCAGGGGACGATGTTGATTCAGTATTTGCAGCTTCTCAGAGTTCCCTTTGGGGTTGTGCTAATAGCACTCACTGAAGCAGAAAAAGAAGCCCCTTGGCTTGTCTTCCTTCTTGCCCTTCGGTGTGTCACCGAGGTCACCCCGAGAAGCCATAAGTGAGCTCGTCCCAGGAGATTCTGGAGGCAGGATTGTGTTCTCCGAACTGAATGTGCGGCGAGGGGCCAAGGTTTCTTGTGGCGGAAGGGTGGATAGGTAATGTAGGAGCATTTGCACTATCTGTGTGAAGTTTGGTCTCTCGTTTGGGTCTTCCTTCCAGCAGGATGTTAGGATTTCTGACAACTCCTCAGGCAAGTTATCAGCACTTGGTCTGATATTCTGCAGCAAATAAGGCTTTCATCTGGTCAAATACAAAACACATGCAGTGGTGTAAGAATAAACTAGAGTTCATGTGGTGGAACATATTTGAAACACCATGCAAGATGTGTATATATAAACATACCAAAGCAAACATAACCCAGGGATGACCTCAACAATTCTTCAGGATAATTGGCTCATGATTAGAGTATCAGGTGTTACCTTGAAAGCAGCAGCGTACGCAGCTTGAAGATTAGACATTCCCTCAAAGGGCAGTTTATTGTGAAGGAGTTCCCACAACACAATTGCAAAGCTGTAGACATCTACTTTGTGGTTGTAATGCTTCTTTTCTCCGTGCCTCAATGTTACTGTGCTGTACAACTGTTGAGATATTCCAGGTTACATTAATAATAATAACACAGAAAATTAAGGATTCAGAAACCGACAAATATGAATGCAGTAGAAACCTCTGGAGCCATCCAACGGTATGTTCCTGTCTCAGCAGTCATCATCTCTGTTAATGTTTCTTCCCTAGCCAAACCAAGATCAACAAGTTTTACTGTTCTCTGGTCTGCAGTCAGCAACAAATTCTCTGCACAAAGTGAAGGGAAAAAACACAGACTAAAGATCAACAGTCTGAATAAATATCTGTCAGGCAGATTCTTAAAAGATGACATGGGGCAAAAAAAAAAGAAAAGGAAATTCATGATAAACTAACAAGATGTCACCAGTGGTTTAATAAACCAAATAAAAAATAAAATGCATTGTTGGATTGAACATATATGATCTGAAACTCAGATAATAGTAATATCTACTGATGAAGACTCCACTGCACTGAAATTAACATTTTCAAACTATGCTTACATCACGACCAATCATTCAGGCTACTTTATATTTCTTGATGCATTTGGAACAGGAAATGACAGTAGGTTGGGCGAGTTATGCACTAGCAAAATCTCAGCTAAATGTTATGTTACTTGATAAATTATACAGTAGAATCACGACAAACACTGCAGATGACAGAACCATGATAATCTTAATCTCTTCTTGTTATGGTTGGGAATAGCTACAGGCGCAGGAATAGGGGCTAGTTAGGCAAGGAGAGGCCAAGGAGAATCATGCAGCTCAGGAATTAGGCGCAGGAGGATGCATGGAGATCATGCAGGCGCCTGATTTAGCAAAAGGGAAGAAGTCAGCTAGGCAAATGAGAGGCTAGGAGAGTTTGTAATCTCTTTTTAATCAGTCGTGACCAAGGAATGAATCAAGCAATTACAGCCAATCCAATTCTCATCTCCTTTCTCTGTTTCTCATCTCCCTGCTGCTACACTCAACCAGCCACCACGGGCAGGAAGCCGGCGGCCGGCCGGCAACCTCTCACACCTACCCCATCAGGTCAACTACCCCACGGTCGTGAGACTTCTCTACTACAATTATTTCTTTTCTTTGAATTTGTGATGCATGATTCAACTTTAGTTTGTCATGGCTTCTGAATTTTTCATGCCATGGCAAACAAGTTTATGGTAAGGGTGGCGTCGATACTTGGATTCTTACTCAGATTCCTTGGATAAAGCATATGAAGTGGTGATGTCCTTGGATGCTACAGTTTGTACGTCGATGAAGCAAAGCCGAGACCTAATAACAACAGAGATAGTGGCTTTTTCGATGGCATGCTTGGTATTTCAGTAACAGAGGGACGAGCAGCAGGGACCATTGAGGCGGCCATGGACATACATGGTAGAGGCCGTGGGTGCAGGTTTGGAGTATGAGGTGGAAGGGCCGAAGGGGTTACAAATGCCACGAAAACCAGCGCATGCCTCTCAAACAAATTAGTCAGGTAAACTACTGTTATATGACAACTTCAAATTGTCCAGTTTCAGATTTTTTGGCATAAGGTTCAAAAAATTGCAGGAACGAGCAACTTTTGGTGATGACAATTGAAGATTGATAGAGGGATTATTGGGAAATGCAAACATCTTCTATACTATCTGAGAGTCTGTTATCTGTACTCCTAATAGATGTGACACTGCTTTATTTGCACGATAATTTTGACCATTTAGAACTCTTTATTTAACATCTGATAATGCTCCCGCAGCATGGCTGTCACTCCACCGCCAAAATAGAAACCTACAAAGATGCGCAGCTGAAGCGAGGAGAGAATGGTCATCTGTTGTAGTTGGGGCAAACAAACTCTGCACAATGCAGAGATTGCGTGGGAGTCGGTTGAGTACAAATGATCCTCGGCAAGCTTATAGGTCTCATGGTGTTGATTCAATTATAGACTGATCAATTTCAGTAATTGGCACCTTAGCAACCTGAAGAAGTGTATTCCAACTCCTCTTATTTCCGCGGTGGAACCCTACCTAGGAAACAATGGTTAGATAGTGACGAATTAATGCTTTTAGATTGCAGATTGGCAGTATACTTTTTGTCTTCACAGGAGGAAACGATGATTGGCAGTATATGTTCTTACAATAGCTTGTTGAAATTATATACAGTTTATATACTTAAGTAACCCATGTTTTCAGAGAAATACATCTTCATGCACACATCTCCAAACTCCAGAGTGGAAAGCGGTCAAATGCACGGTATTTTCAACTTGCTATGTATGATTAGTCATTTATTTATTTATTTTTATTAAAAAGTAGTATAAGCAAACGTATATGTGTCCATGTAAAGATCAAAGCATACATGTATTAATTCCTGATGCAATAAGATGTAATGGTCATTTTCAGAATGATTGCATCATGGTTGATCTTGAGGCTGCATTGACAAAACAAATGATGTGTTTTGCTTTGATGTGTTGTAGAGTATTGTGTACATGCATTACATTTAGAAATTATAACCTGATTTCACGCTATATAAGATTTCACATGCCCTGCAGGTTAGTATTCAGATGCTTTTGGAGAGGCACTTTGCTAATGTGGCCATCTAGAGAATAGTTGTTCAGAAATCAGATAGGAGAATTTCAATGTCTCCCGATGAATCTTCTGAGATAGATGCCAGGCCTGAGTTACAGAATCTTGCTAAGATGCCAGGCCTGAGTTCCAGAATCTTGCTAAAGATGCATCTCAAGGCAGTGTTTAGTAGGTTCTATCAGAAGGGTTGGAAAATTTATAGCTGCAAGAAGAGCTAAATGATGAGCGCCTTGTACAGTCTATCCAAACAATATTTATTCTACGATATTGGTTTGTTCTTTCCTCCAAACAAAATTTAAAATTCTATTCAGAAGAAGATGCATATCGTAATTTTCATGAAAATTTGTAAAGCGTGGAATGATTCATAGAAGAGGTGTCTGTTTAAAGTGGAATGTTAGGGGATTTTATGTAAGCTCATAGCAACGCACGGGCATTCAACTAGTGAATTATTAATTATCCATCATAGAACTACAGCATGCTACAATAAAGAATAGGCAAGGGAAAAAAGGTTCTTAGATAACCATGGTATGTCATAGATTGCCAGAAGTGAGTACAATGCCAACAGTTGGCACTTAACATCTGAACTTCATCTTTGACGAGAACAGTGGTAGCAGAAAAGAAATGAAGAATAATCACAATGTATAAAATAAGACAGCGCACACAACAGGAAACAAAACTTGATGTGAATCAATATATTAGAATATGCCACAAAATTAAAGGAGGCACTAATTTATTAATCACCAAAACTGGGGAAGAACAGATTTTTTTAGAAGATTTATGATAACATAACATTCTACAATATATATATATATATATATATATACAATCTCAATAACATGTAATGGCAAAATTTACTATAAAATTATATATATATATATATATATATATATATATATATATATATATAATAGGATGTAATAGTGCAAGGAGAAGAGACTTCTCATCTGCAGGTTACTATAAGGCACATTTCCATCCTGAGCTAATCCACATGAATGCCATTACAAGATTGATATTCAACTACGGAATTTACTAATCAACTGTTAAAAGGAAGTAAATATTGCAGGTTAATTATTTTCCCAAAGAAAGTAATAAAGATATATACCCACATGGTAAACATGGAGAGCAAAAAGAGGTATATCCACAGTTTGAAGAAACCCACCTACTATGCAGTGAATAACATAGAGAGCACGCAACGATCAGATCACAAAATGACAAGTCTTACCAGGCTTAAGATCACGATGAATGATCCCATGTGCATGCAAGCATTCCATAGCTCGGGCAATGTCCAATGCAAACCCCACTGCTATATGAGGCTCAAGGTTCCTAGGTCGGAGACTGACCAAATACTTGCGCAACGAGCCCCCCACTAGTAGCTCTGTCACCACCACCATGACAGGTTCTAGGCAGGCCCCTATAAACTGTGAAACAAGCAGTCGTAGTTTTCAATAAACAAATGCATTAAAAACCTCCTCTTCCTCTTGGTCATCTCCTTGAGGAGGAAAGAATCAACATGACTGCAAAAGTAGACCTTGACGAGGTTCTTGTGCTGCACGCTTGACAGCATGGTCACCTCTCTCAAGAATCTCCCCTCCCTCTTGGTCATCTCCTCAGGGGTGTCCCCTTTTTGCACAATCTTGATAGCAACATTTTGGTTCTTATACCTGCCAATCCCAGCATCAAATAAGTGCTCGATTAGGAGAAAATTGCAGATGATAGATCAAAAAGATGAGCCTTACTTCCCCTCATAGACCTTTGCATGAGCGCCCTCGCCGATGCGTGGCCCAACAAAGAGAAGCTTCGGGTCGATAAGCCACTTGGGATCGATGGAGAGACCTTCCATCCTTGATGGCAGCTATCTGTTTTGGGTCCTGTGGGGTCACGCGACCCCACTAGAAACTTAAATAAAAGATCAACTTTTAGAAAGTACTTGAGGTTTGTTAGAAAGGTATTTCCAAAAGAACAGATTGAAAACCTTACGGAACATATATAGGTAAAAAGGCTGAGATTTTGTGAATCCGACAAATTTATTTACTTTTATTTAGAAAGTATTCCAAAGTTGGTTAGCACGAGTAGACCACCTTACAACAAATGAGTACTGTGCCGTGTATTCTACGGATTCTTGGCAGTAGAAGTAACCAGTTGGTACAATTGGTGGAATACCTCATCAGGTATACATATTTTTAACAAGTTTATACCTATATTGTAGAAGTTATTTTTTAGATAATGGAAAGATTTATTCTGGCTTCAATCATTCCCTGATCGGACCACAAAAGTTACAAAAAAACCCACCACTAGAAAGATAGGCATATGGCCCAAAGGTTTATAGCCAATACATCTCCTTCAAAAGATAAAACCTATAAGAATAATAATAATAATCTTTAACATGCTCATCATGTAGTCAAACTTTCACGGTTTTTTCATGATGTCTCCTCCGCAAGAACCAATCTCACAATAAAATGGGTGAAAGCGGAACCTAAGCTTGAGCCAAATCCAACAAAGGTGATGAACAACTCCAAATGCTGGCTGAGCTCTGACCACCAAGTCGGGAAACCAACATCACACTGCCCCCACAAAGGGCACCTCCTAATGCGAGGTCTCCAAGGAGAGAGACATTCGAAGACGCCGTCACCGCATGACTGGATAAACCAGTACTAAGTTTTCACCCAGATGGATCCACACAACAAGAAGTGAGTAAAGGCCTCAACAGCGTGGCGCCGACAGGTGGGGGTATACCAGCATCATCCATGGAAACAACATCGCTATGCCGTTTGACTGTCATTGAAGCACCAAAGGTAGGTGCCCGCCGCCGGAACTGGCCTGTAGGGCCGCCATACCACAGATCCGGTCACAACTAGCCCACCCCCAACGTTGACACCCAAGCATGAGATTGAGGTCACCTTCACCTGAGATCGTCACCAGTCGTGCGAAACAGGAAGGAGATAAGAGGCAAGTGGATACAGTGAAGAGTGTGTGGCCATCTTTTTAGACGCCACTGAGGGCTGCCGCCGCCGCCACTGCCGCCATACGCCAACTGTCGACCAGGGAAAGGCACCGATCTAGATTTGTTAGTGGCAGCGCGGAAGTCCCTCCTGTCGCTGTGTGTTTCTGCTTGTAGAAGTTATTTGGGGGTGTTCATAATACATCAGTACATTTGGATACTTCCAAAAGGTTGAATTCATCAAATATATGGGGCTTTTCTAGGTTGAACCTTATTACCTATGTCCAAGTTATGGTATGTACATGAGGCCCATGTATACCTTTATAGCAACGATTGAATACCATCCAAAAGTATAATTTGTAAGAATACACAATACCTTTGTACACGTTAAGAAAACCTCACAGGAAATGGCTGTGTGCTAGAAGGTCCTGTCATCCTGTGTATTTGACAACATCTACTCTGAAAGCGTTCACAAGTTTAGTAGAAAAGACACAAACATAGAGCACATCAACAGAATGATCATGCACATTCGACTAAATTCCGCACCAGGCTCACACACCATGATAGTACCTCTGACCTCCTAGAGGAGAAGAACTAGAATGTTGACCAGAGCAGAAGCAAAAAATAATGAAGTACTAGAAGCCTAATAAATTCCATAAACACTGAAAATGGAAGGGTGCCTAAACTGAACCAGTGGGTGGCCTGAATGCGGTCCGCCGCAAAACTACAGCAATTTAAAACTAAGCCGCTGTTTTTTTTTTGTGATGTGAAGCAACTATCACGAAAAAAATTTGCACGCGCCATTGCATCACGAGGAGATCACCCACCAGGGGCAGATCCAGTAAAGGGGAAGCTAGGAGGCTTGTCAAATCAAATAGCTAAATACCTTTAGGTTAGGGTTTCGGTGCTCAGCTTCGCACAGCATTAAGGGAAGGGAAGAGAAGGGGTGGGAGTACCTGGTGGGGTGCTCGTCGCCGGCGAAGAGACCAACGAAAGCCTCAGCGCCTGGCTTAGGGCGGCGGCGGCGACGGCCCACCAGTCGTCTGAGTCTCTGAGAGCGAGAGTGGGGCGAGAGAGACAGTCAGAACGCACGTGGACTCGGGAGGGATGCAGCGGACGGAAGGGTGGCGTTTGGATCAGGGAAATAGGGGAACGAGGGATGGGGTAGATTTGAACCATGTTTATGGCTGGGTTACGATATCTCAGAGATCCTATTCCAATCGGGGCTGGGTTACGATCGGAAAACATACTGTACGCACCTCGTTTGCGCAATCTTCCACACCGTCCGACCCTCCCCGTTGCATCGTAATCCAGCGATAGAGTATCGTGGGCGGTCGTCCGAGGTTAATTCCACGAGGGAAAGGTTTATCGGTAAAGAAACGTGTAATTATGAATAAAAAGGCAATAGAGACATATAGGTTAGATAGGTTTAGGCTATTATTATGTCGTAATATCTTACTTATGTGGTCTGTTGGATTGTATTAGTTATCGTATGATATTACGTGAGTTTCGAGGGGGTCCCCACCCGCCTTATATAGTCCGGGAAGCAGGGTTACAAGTCGGTTAGATCTGAGAGATAACCAAAAAGTAATAACAGATTACAGAAATCATGGGATCATACGTATCCTAACAGATCTCGTAATATCTTCAGGATATCTTCTCGGTCGTATGGAGGCGCCGAAAAAGCGTGCGTGCCCGTAAGACTTTGTCTTATGGGGTGGGCCGCCCCTGAGGGCGCAGCCTATGTGGTCTGCCGTGGGTATTCGGGGTTGTACCTCCCTTAGTTATCGTATGATATTACGTGAGTTTCGAGGGGGTCCCCACCCGCCTTATATAGTCCGGGAAGCAGGGTTACAAGTCGGTTAGATCTGAGAGATAACCAAAAAGTAATAACAGATTACAGAAATCATGGGATCATACGTATCCTAACAGATCTCGTAATATCTTCAGGATATCTTCTCGGTGTCGTGCGGGAGGCGCCGAGCAGCGTCGTGCCCCGTAAGACTTTGTCTTATGGGGTGGGCCGCCCCTGAGGGCGCAGCCTATGTGGTCTGCCGTGGGTATTCGGGGTTGTACCTCCCACAGCTAGTCCCCGAGCTTCTTGTATCCGTTGTGCAACGCCGTGTTGAGCTTGTCCGAGTAGGTGCGAACAAAGCCGAACAGTTAAACTCATGGTCCAACCACCGTGATGAGATGTCGAGCAGTTGTGAGCGGTTGCCGAGCAGCGTGAACCGTCGCCGAGCAGTGTGAACCGTCGTCGAGCAGTGCAACCCAAGTATGACTTGCCATAAGGGTGTAAGGAACTCAAGTTCAAAATCAAAAATTTCTTCGCAGTGGACCAAGTATGCCCATTTAGAGTCCGACCACGAGAAAGGGAGATAGTCTTCTTCAGCTTCAAGAGACGCGAAGTCTTCCAGAATAAAGCAAATACATTCATCGCAAGATGAAGTATGCACACTTAATCCCCGAGCCTAACAGTAGATGACGTAGTCATGTGGTGCCAGGGTCCAAAGTATAAGAATAGTAAAAGACCAGTCGAGCGGGCAGCCAGTCCCCAGGCGTAGCCCCGAGATGAGAAAAAGCGCATTCACCGTAAGGTGAAGTGTGCCTACTTAGTCCCCAAGCCTGACAGTAGGTGACGTGGTCACGTGGTGCCAGAGTCAGAAACAGCAGCCAACAAAAGAAAATCCCCAATACGGTGAGGAACCGAGACGTAATGCTGACACAGTCCCCGAGCCACAAGAGGACATCATGGAAAAAAACAAATCAAGGAGAACATACTGGAGTAACGGCTGTACAGTAGTAATTACTGAGCCGTAACGGTTGGCGGAGAAGTCGGCGAATATTTGGCGAGCCGTAACAAATTGCGGAGATAAATGGACGATATGGGCCGCGGTTACGTGAAAACCCAGGTAACGGCCCACCTTGTTGTTGTGAAGAATTCAGAGAGGCGCCAATTATCGGAGCGGTTTCCCAAAAACCCTCGAATACGAAAGGGTGGGGGAGTGCTTTATAACTGCGCTGCCGCACCCCGCGCTCCCACCTTTGCCACTTTGCCATTTCATCTTCGTCATCAACTCTCGTGCTTCCAAATTCGTAGCCGCACGTGCTTCCGCCGTCAGCACCAATCTGGATCTGAGAGATGACGCCGAAGAGGAGAGCTGTGAACCCAAAGGAGGCGAGCCCAAAGAAGGCGAGCGCCGGAGCCAGACGTGACGAAGAGTGGGTGCCGTCGCGTACGGTGGAGGCAAAGCTCAACAGATTGGTGGAGACAGACGTTCTTCCTGATCGCGTCACCGTTGGATGGTGGCCAGCCCTCGGTGAGCCCTTCCTAATGCCTCATACCGACGAAGCCGTAGTATTTGAGGACTACTTTTGGCGCAGATTAGGTTTCCCTGTTCATCTGTTCTTGAGGGATTTGTTGGTGTTCTGGAGAGTCAGTCTGTGCAACCTCCACCCAAACACCGTATTACACATATCTATCTTCATCCATTTCTATAAGGCATATCTCGGAATCCTTCCCCACTTCAACGTCTTCCGTCATCTGTTCTGGCTGAAGAAGAAGGGCGGCGGTGGTTTCAAGGTGGTCGGCGGCGTGTATCTTCAGCTGCGTGATGGAATGGCGGACGAGTACCTTACTGTGCCACTGAACACGTCGCTGAAGGGGTGAAACACCAGGTGGTTCTATATGAAGCAAAGCCACCCAGCCATCCGCTACGACACCGGCCACATCCCAGAGAGCCAGAAAATCTGGTCGAAGAGGCCAAGCAGTGCTGACATGGAGCAGGTGAGGGAGCTCCTTGACTTAATAAAGGGCGTGAGAACCAACGGTGGACTGGTGGCGGCGAGCTTCATAGTGCGCCGCATCCAGCCCTGCAAGGAGAGGGCCCACGCGGGCTATG